GAAGGAGCTTCCACTTCTCGGCAGGATTTCCAAGTCGTCTGGATACAAAACCAGTGTGCTCTCCGTTGCCGTTGAGGACAGTCCCCTTGCCACAAGCTCAGCTGTCAAACTAGCTTCGGTAGGGTCGTTGGCCAAGGTGTGCTGGGCGGTCAGAGGGTGAGGGTACACCTGAAAACCCTTCTCGAGTCCCGGCTGAGCTGCCAGCGGCGCGGGCTCGTGGAGTTGGACTCTGACCACTCATACCTTCTAACCAGGGGTCCATCTTGCCAGGCCGGCCTTGGAAGCTCCTTCCCAAAGGAGCCCTCGGACTCTAAGCAGATGGAGCCACGTTTGGGTTATTCCTTGTTGCTCGTCATTACAGGCGCTCTATTTTCTAACCATGGAGCAAACTCACCAGTGCCTAGGATGGCCCTGCCTTTGGCCAGTGAAACAGTGAACCATGGTATTGCTGGTGTGTTCTGAGACTGTTGGGAGATGTTTTTGTGGGTAGAATGGCCTCAATTTCCTATCATTTCACTACCTAAGAATTTCCTCTGCACTGACTCGCTTTCTGTCTTTTAATGCTCTAAGACAAAAAAGCCAAAACAGAACTCTTAAAATGCATTGTATATCTAGTCATGGTGAGCAGGGTTTGCTTTTCTTCCAGGCAGTTTGTTGACACTGGCTTTTTTTTTTTAAAAGCATTACAAATGTCTTCAAACTGTTTATCTGAAACATTACTATCTCCTCGTTTAACGCTGCTGTTCCCAAATGGGCTGGGGCATCGGGGGAGCCTAAGGTAGTTGGGGAGCATTTGTATCGCATTATCTTACTGGGTTTGGGGTTTTTTTGCAGCGTGTCCTTTTTTTTTTTTTTTTTTTAAAGAAATCTCCTTTTATGCATATTTGAGGAGCAGGAGCGGAGCTGGGAGGAGAAGCTCCATATCTGGGCAGGAAGTCCTGCTGACCACGCAGCCCAAAAACCAGGCAGCGGCGCCTGTTATGCTTGGCCCCTGCACAGAGATGGAAACGAGCATGGCCCAAACCTCCCTCCGCTTCCGAGGGAGCGTGGATAACGCTGTCCTCCAAACGGGGAGGTCTGGCTGTGCTTCCAGGCGTCGGGAGGAGATGCTGCCCGAGGGGTCGCAGCCCGCAGGGGAGGGTGGTGCAGCAGCCCGTGGATAACTGCCCCGTCCCCACGCGGAGGGGGCTGGGGGCCGTGCCCCCAGGCTGCCCCTGCTGCCCTGGCAAGGTCTGCCTGTGCCACGGGGACGTCCCCGAGACTCGGTGGGGCCACCTGAGCCGTCCTGCGGGTGGTGGTGGGGATGAGCTGCCACCTCCGCACCTTCCCTCCTGCCAGAGACCCCCACCTCTGCGGGCAGGGGCACCCCAGCCGTCTCGGGAGCCGCCCGTGGCCTCGCAGAGCCTCTCAATTCCTGCATCGCTTCCCCCATACGTTTTCCCATAGCTTCTGGCTCGCAGCTAGCGTGCCGGCTAAGGGCCGGTGGGTCAGGCTGACGCCTGCAAGCGGAGCTTCCAGGGAGATGCGGAGCTCCTGGTCGCACAGGGATGTGGTCTGGTCCCGGCCAGAGCAGTGCACGAGTCGGGGGGCTGGTGGCAAGGTGTTCTGCACATGTCTGAGGCTGCATCTGGATTGGTTTTGTCTTAAGGAAATGGATGATCAGCTTTTGTATAACCCGAAGGTGAGGATCGCCTGCTGATGCCAAGGGGTTTGTTCTGCAAGGGAAGCAATGAGGGCAGCTTAAGAGAAGGGCTGAGACTCTGCTGTGTTAAATGTGACCCATTTTACCGTACTCCTTTGGGCTGGGTGAACGTGTCACTGCGGTGAGAGGACAGGAGGGGCTCGAGAGCGATTCCCGGGGCGCGGGCAGCAGTGCGTGCTGGGGGGGCAGGGGGAGGAGCAGCTCCGTAAGCCTTGCAGGGAGGGTCTGTGCCACGGGGCACCCCTTGGGTCGGCGGTGCTCCTGGGACCCGCCGGCCCCCGAGCTGGGGGGTGGGCCACCCCCCCT